CCACGGACACTGTACGTAAAGCAGAAGCAGAGGGCCATGTCAGCATTTGGATAGGCTGATGCAGTTTTCTACGCGCGTGTACTCTGAAATTAGGAAACAGTTTGGGAAAGATGTGTACGTGGTACCGACTCTCGAGCTTTTGGGACTAAGTCGCCCATTGGATAAAGCGGTTCAGGTGACCAGGACACGCAAACGTCCATCACATTGTGGTGTCCCATCCAGGGGAGGGGGTAACAACTCCACAGCAATATAAGAGTTCGGAAACAACACAGAAGATACAGAGAACACATTCAAGCCATTAGAAGTAACTGTAGCCAATCTGGATTTTGAAACCACATGTTAAATACAGGACATTCCTGTGGCAAAGTAAAGGACACTATGGACGTCATAAGGATTGGAAGGAAAAGCAGACATTTGGACACACCAGGGAGATACTACATTTACAAAATTTACAGGAGCAATTTACATATGAACAACGTACACATCGAGACACATAATCCAATATTTCAAAGAGTGTATGAACTTTACGATAAGTAGCATTAAACACGCTACCTAGAAAGATATATAAGCAAGAACAACTACACTGTGTTTAGTACATAGGTACACCGCACTAGTGATACATACGAAACACAAGAACGTAAGTACACAGAATCCCAACGTTAGATATATGATAAGAAGACGATAAAATCCATGAACTTGTTTATACTAGTTCCACTAATACACATATACATTGCAGTACGATAGCCGCAATAGACTGCAATGACGGCACTTCGATCATGAGGTAGAAACAAGACATTGACGTGCTTGGAAGCACATGAACAAGTATACAGTGTGGTGGTCTCCCTAAAAGAAAAGAAATTACTTGATGATGGCCCATATGGCTGAAATATATCGTAAAACTAGAAGAATATATGACTAAAGATATTTTAGAGAAATTGGTTAATCTCTTTTAATGTATACAGTGCATACAATATATGCTTTTAATGTCCTATTGGCATGTAATGATTTTAACATCATCAAAGTATTGAAATACATTTTTAGCGCCAAACATATTTCATAATTTCTTTTAAATTGGTACCTTATTGGCGGTTACTGTGATAATAAGGATAACACAGAATTGGGCTTCGTCCATCTGTCCCCTGACCGCCGGCGTGATTCCTATTTCAAGTTCCTTTTAGGTTGGGGCAACATGAGCACACAAAATGCGTCCGTTGTAACGAACGTCGTGACGTCAGATGTAGAAATAAACAAGAGAGGCGAATGCTACGCTTTCTTCTGACTCCACTGCAGACAAAAAACTACACACCGCGTTCTGCAACTGTGTGGTGTCCTCAGCAACGTCCGTCATAAAGTACGTTCGTTGCAAAGGACGTAATTCATGCGCTCGTGTGGCCCCAGCCAGGGAAACCGATTTAACATTTTAAGGGAGCTATACTATTCAAATTGCTGACGATTTTCATTCTGGTCCGCACTGCCCACTTAAACGCCAACCAGGCTACCCACAACGTTAACCAGGCTGAACAGAGTACAGGACTGTACGGATCGCAGCTCGAAAACCCTGAGATCTCACAAAGACGGCTTAAATTTCCATAAGAAAGTGTGCAAATTCGCCCTTTTGGGCGGCGTTTTGTCTACGCATGGCATGTCTTCTTCTTATGTAGGCTTGTGGGTCCTATTCAGTGAGTTGGAAATCGAGCAGACTCAAGATAGATGACAGATTTGTGGAACAACATTGTGCAACGCTGTGTTAGCGCACCCTCAATTTGTAGTAAACCCATCTAATTGTTTTACTGAGCTCAGCCAGCTCTACACATATCTTATATATATAGCAGGCTAAGTCAACTTCATTGAAGTTGAAGAATGCCGTCTTCTAGGATGTGGCGCCGTTTAGATCTTGTGTAAACCGACTTTTCGGAAACACATATCGCCTCCATCTTCAGGGTAGAAAAATCCACGAGCGAGGAACCAGCGTGAGCAGGTGGCTAAAAACGGTAGGCCCAGCCTTTAGCTACTCCGAGCCTTAAATCGAATGAGAAGACTGAAAATTGCAAGTACGGGACGTACGTATTTAAGCAGCAGAATTTCCGCACATGAGTTTACTCAGTCAGAATGTGCGGAAGAGCTGAGAAGCCTGCTCGTGCATCAGAAATCAGTAGCAAGTGCCTATACGAGACTTCAACAATACCTCTCAAAAACTGAAAACATGACTCTAGGCCTAAACAGACATAGGCCTGTATAATGGAACTGCAGGATGGCTGGGTGAAAAATGAATTAGGTGGGATGTGGAAGGAAGGGGTTGTTGTTTAGTTTGAGATAGGCGTCACTACAGCGGTATGGGTTTGGAGAGACTGAGTCAAGGAAGCCAAACCTGAATGAGGATGGGATCTGAAGCCAGGACCTCTTGAATCCTGGACAGAAATAATAAACACTCAGTCGTGACTCCGGTCAGACGTTGCTTAAACCAGCGAAGGCAGGTTCACGAGTCCTATACAGGATTCTCTAGACAAATTGTTGAGTTAAGACCGCCTAACTGAATTTGGTTGAAAATTGGACCACTAGACAAAATTTCTGTGGTAATTCCGTCATACCGAGTTCCATAGAAGGCAGCTAGGTAATTCGGACAAATTTGCCCATAACAACATTAATGGTTGCTTTCATTGAGACACACCTAAAAATGGGAATATTTTCTCACAACACTTCTTTGTGATATGTAGCATTTACGGACAGGTTTCGCAACTGCGATGCACAGATCCTATAGGTCTGTATTTAATGAGATACAGACGTCAGGAGATACCAGTTGGAGCTGCAGTGTCTGGGTGATATCTGTTAGCAAGCAGTTCTGAAGCTGTAGCTCTTACATGGGGAGCTGCACGCCTGTGGGCTTCTAGTGCCAAACTGAGCACGGTCTATTCCAGACATACGTACTTTCCCATATCCGCTGTACACGTCAGGAAACAGATTCCATGACGCCGTACAGTTTTGTTTAAAGCAGGATTCTTAAGACCCGTGGGAACTGAAGTTGTTCCAGTGATGGCTATCATAAGCACTAGTTTCTGGAATGTGACGCAGTGTGGTCTCGTAGAAGTGTAGGTCTACCAAAATTTAGGAGGACTCTATTGCCTCCACAGGGTAGAAAGTTAAGCGGGGCAAACAAAAAGCAAGAAATAAGAACAAGAATTTTTAAAATATATTTCATTAAGAACACGAAAGATATTAAAAATGATTTAATATTTTCACGGGGGACACGCGGTAGCCTAGTTGGTTGAGGCACTATGCTACAAGCTGGGAGGTCGCGGGTTCAAACACCGATGAAGTCATAGGATTTTTTTTTAATTGATCTAATCCTTCCAGCCGCACTATGCCCCTGGAGTAGACTCAGCCTCTAACAGAAATGAGTACCAGGAATATTCTTGGAATATTCTTGGGGGTAAAGGGCGGCCGGCGTATAGGGCTGACAACCTTGCCACCATCTATGAGCCGATTGTCTAGAAAATGTGGGACGCTCAACATTTCACAACCCTATGGGCCTCCACGGCCTGATACAGGGATAACTTTACTTTTTTTTATAATATTGTCACGTGTAGGAGGGTACGAGTGACGATATGAAGGGTTATAGTTCGGATGATTGGATTTATTAACAGCTTGGTTACACACCCTCTCTTAATTACACTCAGATACAGAGCTATCGCTGATTTACATGCACCTCATAATCCATTGTTACACTCACCGTCACACACATAAAGTCTTCTGAATCACACCTGACATCCTCACAGGCAATCTTCTGTTCTTCTGGTTCCACTTCACTTACTTGAAACCTGATAAGAACACCGGTCATAGTGGCCGCTCGGTCTAAGGCATGAACCGTCGTCGCTCTCACGAGCGCTGGGATCGTTGCTTCGAATCCCATTCAAGACATATATGTTAATTTGTGTTATTCTGCATTTGCGTAGGTAGCGGCCTTGCGACGGGCCGATCCCTAGTCCAAGGAGTCCAACCACTGTCTTAGGATTAAAAGACTGAAGTGAAACAAAGCGTTTCACAGATTCTTTCTGCCTCAAGGTGAGAGTAACAGGGGAGAGAGGAAGATCATCTTACCATTGGACATTTCGGAGTATAATCTGAAGTGCTAGCAATTGTTAAACGGAGAAAACAAACTCCGTGGCCTGTAGTCCGCAAGCGAACTATACCAACCAAGCGACCGCTGCTTGTCGGCGAAGTTAGTGCCAACTTTTGCGAATAGAGGGTGTCGCGTGGTCAGCGTAACGAATCCCCACGGCCGTTAATCTCAGTTGTCTGCACCGGAGCCCCTATTTCCTTGAAATAGCTCCTCAATTATCCTCACGAGGCTGAGTGGACACCGTTGCAGACCCACTACTTCTCAGAAAATCTGGTAGCGCCGGGAATCGAACCAGGAACCTCTGGATCTATAGCCAGGAGCTCTGACCACTAGAACACAGAGGCGGTAGAAAGAGAGACAGGCGTCACAAATTCTTCCCCGAAATTTTAAAAGGTTTCGCCTCGTCTTTTATCTAAAACTTCTTGAACTGGACTCATTATTAGCTTTTTCAGAGTGAGAGACCGTTATAATATATCGTGTGATGCAACATATGACTTACTGGGAATCTGTTAGCCTACATCTGTCTTCGTCTGAGAACGTTAGGCAGATTGGATATCATTTTTTTTTCCGCAGAACATCCGGCGCCATAAAGCGGGTCGCACTTTGTAGCCGGAAACTGTAGACACGAGGCCTCACAGAAGGATAAGAAGCTCATATCTCTATGAGCAGTATGGAGGGCAACGGTGGGCATGGAAATTTTATCCAAGGATTATGGACCCCTTCAAGCGATGGATATTAACTGCTGCTTTGCCTTTCAGTTGCCTGTGCTCCCGCAAATTTTATCCGAAAATGAGATAACCCCAAAGCCATTCTGGACGTCTAAACGGCTCAACCTGCAGTGGAAATTTCGCACTGGTGTCCTTAACGAGCTATCATCTCTTACCTTAGTCTGCTCCACCCTTTCAGAAAGATTCCGTTCTTCTCGCTTCCGTCGTTGCACCCTACATATATCTTCCGTTCGTCACATGGCTCTACCAACTTGGTTAGTCTGCAATTTCTGAGGCAATCTGGACACGAAACCAGTTCTTGAGGTTACGTGTTGTTGCTCTCACTTCGTTCATTCTAATTCACTGGACGAAAATACGAACCCTGCAACCAAAAACACAGAATGCATTTTACAGCCTGTAGCGATGCTGAACTTGAAACAAAATACAGAACGAGCCAAGGATCCTTGTGTGCCCTATTCATTTCTCGTAATGGAGATACAAGAGAAGGTTATGACATTATTAATTGCCTAGAAACCTTTTGTTAGTTAGAAGAAAATTGAGTTAAACCTAATTTGTAACAAGAGTTAGATAACAGAAGAATTCTTTACACACGTGGCTTAGTTCAAGTGAATTCATCTGTGGAATTCTTTGGGACTCTCAAATTCATGTAGCCGAACTGGCAATGATGGATTAGTCTTACGAGCGATAAATTCAACAAGTTGCTTGCTAACGAAGGTAGAGGATCTGCAAAACAGTGGTGAAATTAGCGTTCCGGTTAATGCATCCCCAGTGGAACACTCGCCAGGTATTCTTTCGCACGTTGAAGAGTTTCTGTCAAATTTGTTGAGCTTCGTGTACTTTGAGGAGTCCTCTGACGAAGGTGGAATACTCGTAGCCCACGGTTCATTCCCGGGGATAAAGCGGCCGGCGAGTGAAGCTGATTTCAATCTATTACCCAGGGTACAAATGAGCGCAGCTATACGCGCTTTCACCCACACGTCATCACTGCTTGATGCCGGAGTTTAGCTTAATTAGGTACAGCTCAACTTTACCCATTTTTACTTCGTAAAGGTGGTAAGAAGAACCACAAGCAGATCCTAATAGACTAAGGAGTTGAAGTACCGGGATAGCTCAGTATTAGTGACTAGGCCGAGAAATCAGGGTTCTAATCCCGACAGTGAACAGCTCCACAGCTTCCAGTTCGGCCCTGGTGCCCACCCAGTCTCCTTTTGAATGGATAGCAGCCCATTGCGTCTGGGGCTTTTAGCTGAACACTCGCCTCTATCTAGCACCGATATTGAGAATGCCTACAGCCGTATGTCTACATTGCATGATGTTATTTACGCACACAGAAACCTTCTTCCTCTGGGGTGCAACATACAAATGCAGCCCAAGTTCACCCGTTTTCCGGGGTTCAAAATCTCGTTTATAGATGTTTAGTAGGACTCCCACGATGAGAGATCAGCCGGTCACAAGGCCTGTACCTACAACACAAAGACGGGCAAGAAAGACACACGTCCATGCCCCCTGTGTGACGGAAACAGAGGACCCAATTTCTCGAGCGGTAGGAGATTATACACGCCTCACACTGCACGGTCACTGGGCTCGGTAGGGAAAACTGAGGCTACTAAACAAATAAACAAACTCCGTGTTCTATAGTCCTCAAGCGAATTATACCGACCGAGCGACAGCCCCTTGTCGGTGAAGTTAATGCCAACTTTTGCGGATAGAGGCTGTCGCATGGTCAGCGCAACGGATCCCCACGGCCGTTAATCTCGTTTGTGACTATCAGAGTATGTAATTAGTTACAGCAAATCTATTGAAACCACTTGGGATATTTAGATTATATTGTCAAATTAGAATGATCCATAAAATTAATTTGCGCGGCTAATTGTCTCACTCTGCTAGAAGCCGGAAGTTCGTGGGTTCAGTTCCCGATGAAGTCACTATAATTTTCTATTGCCTCATCCTTCCAGACGCACTATGGACCTGAGTCGACTCAGCCTCTAACAGAAATGAGTACCAGGAATCTTCCTGGGGATAAAGGGCAGCCGGCGCGTAAGGATGGCAACCTTACCGCCATCTTTGAGCCAATTGTCTAGAAAAATGTGGAAGCCTCGACGTCTTACAGCCCCACGGACCTCCCCAGACTGCTATAGAGACAGCTTTACGTTCACCATATTGTCTTCAGATTTGTGTAGTGAAATGAGTACAGCCTGTGTTTCAGACATTGTCAACACACACATTTGCAAGAAGTGAGCTGAAGGGCGCGGTTTCTAACTGCGGCTGTCGTGTTCACAGCGCAGCTGCCAATTGAAGGTGATGGACGTGAGCATCAGTGTACTAAGACAGTGCGACGTCCGGTGTCATGATTCTCATAGCACCTTCACAGGTCCGTCAGCGCCTGCGCATTTTGTTATTGAATTATGCGTTATAAAGACACAAGAAGGTTGCTGAGAGGACACGAAGAAACTGTTCTTCTTCAGGAATATTAAAAGATGCGTCAGATTTAAGGAGACCTGCACCATTATAATTTGTGTGCTTTCAGTAACAGAATTCAGGAGCCGGTCACGGTAGCCCAGCGGTCTAAGGCATGCACTGTCTTCGCTCGCTCGGAAACCGAGATCGTGGTTTAGGTTCTGTTTCCTGTGAGGTACGAACTGAATTCTTATATATTATTCTTATACACTGCCGGTCACGGTAGCCGAGAGGTCTAAGGCATGCACTGTCTTCGCTCGCTCGGAAACCGAGATCGTGGGTTCGAATCCCACTCAGGGCATGGATGTTTATGTGCGTTTTTCTGTGTTTGTCTACAAGTAGAGGCCTTGCGGCGAGCTGATCACTCGCCCAAGGAGTCCTACCGAATGTGTAAGATCTAGTAAACCGAAGTGAAACGGAGAGTTTCATGGAGGTGGGCCTAGGCCCAAACTGGGTCTGTAGCGCCACAGGAAAAAAACAAACAGAATTCAGGTATCTAGACATACAAAGCACACCATAGGAATTGTAGATTCTCAAGTCTCGTCTGCAAAATTATGAAGTTCATGTCGATTTACTTTGGTTTTGGGGATTTACACTAAGCTTCTGGGGTCAATTTAATTTCGGGTCCATGAACCTTTCCGTCCACTATAAGCCCAGCCCTTATCCGCGCTTCACGTGGAGTTAAAATTAATCTTAGTCAAATTTCACAGGAACGAGGAGTCAGGTGAAAGTTATATAACATTAAGTGTGACGAGTTCTATGGCTCTAATCTTTATTTTAACATTTTCTTCAGGTGTAGACTTTAACTGAAGTGACTTGCTAGGAGAAACTAAGTTTATGCTTCTATAATTTGCAGCAAAGCAGGCCTCTTTATAAGTTGTAGCTTTGTGACCAACGGAGTTTTTTCCAATATATCCTTACGCCGTAACTGCCTTCTAAAAGAAGTTATTGAAGGAAAGATAGAGGGGCGGATAGAAGTGACCAGAAGACGAGGAAGAAGACGTAAGAAGATGCTGGATGACCTTGGGGACAGAAGAGGATATTCTCATTTGAAGGAGAAAGCTCTAGATCGCATTAAGTGGAGGAACTGTTTTGGAAGAGACAGTGGACCTGTCGTCTTGACAGATTACAGATGAATGAATGAGCCTTACAGCGCAACATCTATATTGGTCACTGATCTGCAAATCTTAGACTTGGGATGCTGATGAAGACCATAAAATCGCAAAGAAAAAAAAAATGGAAAATCTATGCCTCTAGGGCTACTAATAATGTGCAGCTGTTGAATGATTATGCTTACAGACATACGTGTATGTTTGCCGAGAATTATCTATCATCACCATCTGGCGGGTACCAAGTTCACTTGCCTCGTTTTGTACTCTGATCCTGTCCCCTAACCGAATCAGATGTCTACGTCACACCGTCACGAAAGTTTGCCGCTGTTTACATAGCAGCGTCCATCACTATCCAAGGTGGTTAATCCACGGCTAGGCTTCTGTAGCGTTAATTAAAAAATAAAGGCATTATTCACTTTATGCTTTCGATTGAAATACAGTACCACACATACACGCGGTATCGCAGTTGGTTGAAGCACTATGCAACAAGCCGGAAGGTCGTGGGTTCTATGCGTTGGGATGATTGGATTTTTCATTTGACCTAATCCTTCCAGCCGCATTATGGCCCTGGGGTCCACTCAGTCTTTAACAGAAATGAGTACCAGGAATCTTCCTGGGAGTAAAGAACGGCCGGCGCGTAAGGCTGACAAACTTACCGCTAACTGTGAGCAGATTGTCTAGAAAATGTGGGAGCCTCGACGTCTCACAACCCTATGGGCCTCCACGGTCTGTTAAAGAAATAGCTTAACCTTTTTACCACGAACATAGATCTATACCTAGGTGAAAATAAAATTTCCCCTGTGTTTAATTGACGAAGTACTACGCCACGAAGTCATACGGGTAAGTAGAGGTATAACTCCACCATTTTTGAACACGGCACTAGATGGAGGTGAGTGGCCAATTTCACGCCCCGGTCGCTTAGTCCCTGATACCCCCTGAATGGGAGGCTGGGTGAGTCCCAAGCCGATCTCGGCTGAAGTAGAGAAACATTTCTTGTCTCTGACCGCAATTCGAACCCAGCCGACCAGCCCGTAGCCAGTCGCTATACCGACTGAGCTATCACGGCTTCTGATCTACGAGAAGGCTTAAGATTTCTAGAGATTAAGCACGTGGAGAGAGTAGAGAGACCAATTTAAAGTGACTTAGTCAGAATTTGTAGGTATATTTTTGGAAAGAAACTCATACTATTCCTACGGCAACAAGGCATGGACCGAGTCGTACTGTAGGGCCGCTCCATAGCTCAGGTGCTTACTCACCGGCTTCCCACCACGACAGCCCGGACTCGAGCCCGGGGCAAGTCATGTGGATTTATGGTGGACAAAATGGCACTGGGGTAGGCTTTCTCCGAGAACTTTGGTTTCTTCTGCCAATTTTCATTCCACTGTCTGCTTCACACTGATCGTCATCTATCATCCGGGGCTGGCACAATAGGCCAATTAGTGGCCGACGTACCAAGTGGACTCAGTCTCACCTAACCCCAAGAAACCAAAAAAGGAAAAATAATCCAAGCGCAAAACCAACATGAAGAAGGCAACTCTGTTCCTTAGAAAAATCTGTTGACTTTCATGGAATTGCACGGCGTTGTGTTCCAGAAGTGTCGGTGTTAGCTCGACACTTCAGCTCTGAGCCGTCGCGACGCGGGAAGTTTGGTTCCAAGTTGTTGCATGTTCCGTCACATGACAAAAGCACTGGCCACTAGCAAAAGCTGAGACTATAATACGGAGCAATGTGTTATTTCATTTGAAAATGAGTTGAAGGCCTGCACCTTCCTCCTTTAATTACTCTGTCCTTG